AACTCATACGTCCATGGCAATTTTATTACTTTATGTTGATGATATCATTCTGATTGCTTCTACTGTTTCTTTATTGTCTGAGCTTATTTCTCTTTCGAAGAAGGAATTTCTTATGACAGATTTGGGAGACCTGCATTATTTTTTTGGGTATTACTGCAAAAATTAATTATGTTGGTTTATTTTTTAATCAATCAAAATATATTCATGAGCTTCTTGATCGAAGTGGTATGACAGATTGTAAACTAGTGGCTACACCTTTGGATTCCCGAAAGAAATAGGCGACTGATGACAATCCTCATTATTCCAATCCTTTTGACTATTGAAGTATTGTTGGTGCCTAACAATATGCCACTTTTACTTGTCTAGATATTTCTTCTCCTATTTGGCAAGTTTGTTAGTACATGTATGCTCCTACTGTTAATCACTTTCAAGCTATGAAACGAATTCTCCGATACTTAAAAGGGACATTACATTATGGTCTTCAACTTCCAAAGGTTTTCTCCTTTTCTCTTCACATCTTTACTGATGCCAATTGGGCAACTTGTTTGGACACCCGTCGATCTACATCTGGGTTTTGCTTATTTCTTAGTAATTCTCTTATTTCTTGGTCATCTAAGAAGCAGTCTATAGTTTCTTGGTCTAGTGCAAAGGTAGAATATAGGGCAATTGCTAATGCTATTGTAGACGTAACATGGGTTCGACAATTTCCAATTCTACCAATTTGATATGACATATCTGGGTTTTTTGCATTATTTTCTTGATCTGGAAGTAGTACAGTCAGATTCTGAAATTTTTGTTTGTCAAAAAAAATATGTGCAGGAAGTTCTGAACAGATTTCAAATGAAGAGCTGCAATTCTGTTACTACACCAGTTGACAAAGGTGTAAAGCTTGTGAAAGATCCAGGAACCATATCTGTGGACAGCAAATTGTATAAGCAGATTGTTGGAAATCTGATGTATGTGACAGCAACAAGACCAGATATAATGCATGGTGTAAGTCTGATTAGCAAATATATGGAGCATTCAAAGGAGTTGAATTTGCAGACTGCTAAAAGAATTCTCAGGTATTTATGTGGAACTGCAGATTTTGGACTATTCTACAAGAAGGGTGACCAGACAGATCTCGCAGGCTTTACAGACAGTGATTATGCTGGAGATCTGGATGACAAAAAAAGCACTTATGGGTTTGTTTTTATGCTGGGATCTGGTGCAATTTCATGGTCTTCAAAGAAGCAGCCCATTGTGACTTTGTCCACAACAAAAGCGGAGTATGTGGCACCAACTTCTTGTGCTTGTCAAGCTATTTGGTTAAGAAGAATTATGGAAGAACTTGAGTTGAATCAACATGAAGCCACTTCAATTTATTGTGATAACAGCTCAGCCATCAAGCTTTCTAGAAATCCAGTTTTGCATGGGAGAAGCAAGCATATACATTTGAGGTACCATTTCTTGCGCAACTTGGTAAAAGATGGAACAATTGAGTTGATTTATTGTAGAACAGAAGATCAAGTGGCTGATATATTCACAAAACCCCTCAAAGTTGCAGCTTTTTCAAAATTGAGAGAGTTACTTGGTGTTTGCAGCATGCAGAATTCAATTTGAGGGAGCGTCTGTAGATTCCAGATTGCAGATCTGTAGATATGGTGTTATCCAGATTTCTTTAAACTAAAGTCTGAAGATTTTCAGTTTAAGAGAGGGATTGTTAGAAATTAGATCCTATTATTTAGCCATTATCTCTATAATTTAGGAAGTTTAAGTTATTTATTTGTTTTAAGTTGTTATCATTTAAATTAGATTAGATAAGATTGGTTAGTTATCTTTTTAGATAATATTATCTTGTAAAGCCTATTTAAAGGCTGAATTATTTTCATTTAACGAGAGATTTAGTTTTTCATTCCATCTTTTTTTTCTGGGGAATCCTTGATTTTTTAACAGTTAGCAGATTGTGCAGTTCTCATTGAGCAGAGAGCTGGTATGTATTATGTGTGCTAATCCTACCTCTTCTATGTATAAAGTTTGCTGTGTTTTTATCATATCCTATGCAATTAATTGTTTGGAGTGGCAGGTGGAAGCTCTTGGATTTTGCTGAACTCAAGCGGAGTTCTATATCGTTCTTTGACATAGAGAAACATGAAACTGCTATTTCGCGTTGGTCAAGAGCAAGAACCAGAGCTGCCAAGGTGGGAAAAGGTTTATAAAAGAATAGTAAAGCTCAGAAGCTTGCCTTGCAGCATTGGCTTGAGGCAGTAACCAGTAAGTCAAGTTCTATAGGATTTTAGTTCACGGTTGTTTTTCCATTAGCTGTTACTGATTCTAATGCTCTTTATTTTATTCATTCAAATTGACCCACGACATCGATATGGACATAATTTACACTTTTATTATGATAATGGTTTAATTCTCCGAGTAAAGAACCCTTCTTCTACTGGTAAGTTCTTTAACCAAAAGCTTGGAGCTGAACTAGTTCAAAACCTGATTCCTGGATCAAGAAACTTGAATTGGAAATAAATATGTTTGCCTTTTAAAAATGCAGGTTGGATATTGGGGAAGGGAAAGAAGTGAATCTTGAAACCTGTCCTAAATCAAAACTTCAACAACAGCGCATCAAGCACCTTGGTCCGGTGAGCCTTTATTTCTCTTCTTCATCAAATTAACTTTATCTTTCTTATGTTCAAACATTTTGCGACATTTCTTCCATCTTACAGAGGGAGAGGATAGCCTATGAAGTCATTGTGGTTGATGGCAAGTTCTTATTCAAGCAAACAGGGAAGCTCCTTCGCACCACTGGCAATACTAAGTGGATATTTGTTCTTAGCACATCAGAGACCTTGAATGTTGGCCAGAAGAAGAAAAGCACATTTCAACACTCGAGCTTCCTGCCTGGTGGAGCCACAATTGCTGCTGGAAGATTAGTTGTCGAACATGGAGCCCTAAAGGCAGGGGCGGAGGGAGGGGGGTGCGAGAGGGGGCGCTAGCCTCCCTGAAATTTGAAAATTCTTATAAATTAATATATGAAAAATTATTTTACTCCCTTTAAATTTAAAAATTTTGTAAATTAATATATAAAAAATTATTCTGTCTCTCCTCAAAAAAAAATCTGGCTCCGCCCCTGCCTAAAGGTATTGTCATTAACATAGTAGCTGCCATAATACATCTCGCTTGGTTTAATTCACTGCTTTAGGGCTTTTATTGTGTTGAAAATGTTTCCTAATGATGGTTCTTTTTTTTTTCTTCTTCTTTTTTTTGGTTACTTTCAACAGGCAGTTTGGCCTCACAGCGGTCACTATCGACCTACACCAGAAAATTTCAAGGATTTCATTTCATTTCTTGAAGAGTACAACGTGGATCTTACTGATGTTAAGGTAAAAACCAGATGAAAATTTTTTCTTCTTTTTGTATCACTGTTAGAGAAATTTAAAAGAGAATATGCCGAAATTACTTCTTTTGTTATATTCAGATGAGTGCAGCTGATGAGGAAGAAGGCTCAATTGCAAACCAAAGAAGCAGCTGATGACGATTTTGCTCGTGACATACATAAATTCAACATTCAACATTTGTTTTATTCGACAATTTTTTTTTTTTTTTGGGTTGCATTGAGAGTTTATTACTTAGTATTACATGGATTAGGACTAAAACTTTTACTTTTTTTACTTTTTTAATTTTTAACTGTATAATAAAAAATAATTTTTTTTAAAATTTTTTAACTCACATTACTTGTTTCTTAATTATGCAACTCAAATTTATAATATTTTTTGATGAAAAAAATTATAATTGAGCTAATTAGGACATTGACCCAAATCATAATCTTTAAGTTAGGGATATTTGATATTGCTAAACTTTGAATATTTGATGGTTTATGAGCTGATACTGAAATATTGATTTTGATAAGATTTTTAACCACTCTATAATGAATTTGGTGTCTAAAACACCATTTAAATTAGTAAGACTTAAATTTTTCTTTGACAATATTTTTTAATGTTTTTATTTTTAATTTTTATATCTTTTATTATTTTAAAAGTATATAAAATATTAATAAAAATAAATATTAAATATA